TTTTTAGTTATGGAGCAAACATATGTTTTTTTAAATGGAAAATAATTGTATACAATTATATATTTTTGGAAAGCCCACTTCATGCTCAATGTATATATGAAATAATATACAGGGTGTTCCATTTAAAAAACACATATGTTCGCTCCATAACTAAAAAACAAAAGGTGCTAGCAAAAAAATAACTACGCCACTGGATTCTACGAGAAAAACTCTATAAAAACAAGTTTTAACTTCTTCGATAAGTTCAAAGATAACTGAGACACGGAGGGTGCCTGAAAAGTGATATTTTTCAATTCCACCCTGTATCTCGACAACCGGAAGAGCTGTCACAATTCTGCTTGCGCCATTATTAATTTCATAAAAAAGTAGCACACTGTCGCGAAAACCGCAATGCTCTATCTTTACTGATAAGGGAGATACCCCGCAAAAGTGCCCATATTGGGATACCCTGTACATGAACTGCCGGGAGAGGTGTGCGTTACAAATGCTGTGCCGATAGTTTGTGTTATCTGGGTAGTTCTCTCCAAAATGGGAACTGGTGCATTCCCAATGGAATACGAAATAATATAATAAAATTTTATTCTTGAAGGTTGGATCGGATAAATTGGTTTGTCTTTGTTTATTACTTATTGTTCGCATCCTGGAATTCTTTCTAGACTTCTCTAAACAAAGTAGATGTTTGATGGAAATAATTTTGAGCAGTTTCTTCATCATTGAATTAGTGCAAAACACTTAACAAACTTATGAATTCTGGGAAGTAATCCCCTATTTATGACTTTATCAAGAACAGTCCATTTTATATATTCATAGAACGTCCCACGAATATTTGTATAATATTGTGAGAATATACGAATAAGGAGCTATAAATATTTTGATGATGAACATCTCAAGAATATTCCGAGAATGTTCAGAAAATGTGAAATTCAGTCCAGTTTCTGCGGCCCAAATAAATCGTATAAGGACTTGTGTCTTGATTTCCTCGAAATATCTGCTTATGCCCACGGACTATATCTATCTTTATTACACAGCACACCCGCAACGGTAGCTAGTTTCCTATTCCTAAATCCTCTTATTATCCTGCTTCTTCGTGGTATAGTGTGAAAAAGCAGGTAGAATGAGTAGTGAAAGTTTATTCCATTATTTGGTTCAATATCATTTATTTTATAATATGGAAGTATGGAAGCCTGTGACATAAAAGTTCATATATAGACATGAAGTATCTAAAGAAATTCAATATTGTCAGAGTTCTGGATTCTGGATATTCATCTTTGGAAATGTCGGTAGTTAAAACATTAATTATCATTGAAACTGATTTGTCAAATTAAATGGGAAAAATTGATAATATGATTCGTAGAGTGCATTCTTGAAAGATTCGATGCACGTCATCAGCGATTTTATTTCCAACAAAATCTGCACGGTGTTTCATATAACATTGTGACAAAATTCAAGCATAGATTTCTCGCAAGCAAATAAAAAGAAGTTCCGTAGTTTTTCGAGATACAGGGTGTGGCAAGTTTGAAAGATATTGTTTTTATTAATTCCTAAACCTGATGTCCACCAACAAGCAAACGAGCAGTACCCACAAAAGTTGAATAATGTTGAGGTTATATACCTACATCGATAATAAATACTTGCCATCTTTGATTATTATAATTGGTCAGCTATATCGAATCTTCTCTCTTCCAATCTTCTTCATCTTCGTTACATTTTTGCAAGCCTCGAAGACATCATCAACAAGGTGTATTTCATGTGTATAAGAAAATAATTGGAAAACCACCAAAAACATAATATATTATCTACCAAACCATATTCCTCAATTGCATTGCAATTCATAACAGCATAAATTTCTCCATAAATAACATCTAACCCGTCTGATAAGGTGGCACATAGCCACCGAATGCCCTTTCTAACTCTTTGGCCACCGCGAAACACAGCCGGTCCTGGTAAGGGGCTGCGACCACTTGAATGCCCAGAGGCAGCCCAGACTCGCTCAGCCCCATCGGGACTTGAGTGACCGGGAATTTCAGGACGTTCCACAAAGAGAACAAGTTGAAGTTCCAAGGTCGCAGATACGCTGCATGGTGATAGCTAGCTGGAAATGGAGCAGAGGGATAAAGGAGGACGCCATTTTCACCTAATTTTTCCTGTAACGAAATGAAATTTAGATTAGATTTAGATTTAGAATGGGGCCTTCGGGCTATTTGCCTCCACACCGCGACCTTTTCAGATCTATTGTGGCTGCCCTCAAAATCGATTAGAGTTCTTCGACTAGCCCCGCCTTCTCTATGAGACTCCATAGGCTAGCTTTCAGATCCCCTGTGTATCTTTGGGCTCTTGATTTTTCCTCACCCAGCGTAAGGAACCTTAGTCTTAACAAGCCCTCACCGTGGCAAAGTATGTGTACTGCTGTTTCCTCCTCTTCCTGACAGAACCTGCACAGCAGTTCTTCAGTCAGACCTATTGTACTCATGTGTTTGTTGAGCCTACAATGCCCTGTGAGAAGTCCCACTAGTAATCTAGTAGAACTTCGTTTCTGGCTCAGTAGATATTCTGTGAATGTTGGCGATGGTTTTTTAATAAATAAACTCTTTTGCTTGTCTCATTACTGGCGAGTTGTTCCACCATTCTTGAGATTTGGTTGGCATCCTGCTCGGGCAAGTGAGTCTGCCTCTTCATTGCCCTCGAGTCAGTCTGTTCCGACTGTCCAGTTCATTTAGGGTTTCTAAGCAGTTCCATCCTAGTTATGAGTTAACTTGCATAGAGTTGACTGCTTTGATTGCCGCCTGGCTATCTGAATAGATTGCAATGGTTTTGCCTTTAAACTCTTGCCTTATCAATTCTTTCACGCAATGATGTATTGCAATAATTTCTGCCTGAAACACCGTCGCGCATTTACCTAAGCTCAGTCAGATTCTTGTCTTTGGCTTGGTCCCATAAAAACCAGCTCCTGATCCTTCCTCAGTTTTGGAGCCGTCCGTATAGACAGCAATGTTTGCATTGATAGGAGGTCCTTCCTTCCCATGCCTATATATTTGTATGAATGAAATTTACATGACCGTGTCTTTTTTAATAGTATATTGTTTAACGAGCACGGAATGATAGTGATTTCCTACGAGAATGATGTTTGCAGCATGAGCCATAGGCGAATGCTGCAATCATTAGAGTAGGAAATTAACATTCCGTGCAAGTTATACACTATAACTTTTCTACGGCTATAATAGATAACAGCGGCATTTTCGATTTCTTCGTACGGAAATAACATTGATGGCATACAAAGTACCTCACTAGCCGTAGAAAAAAGCTTTTATTTAACTTGCAATGTATGTATGTTTCTCCGGGTAGAATCTTTGAACTCAATTTTGAAGTAGATATTTGCTTCAACCGATTGAGCTGAAATTTTGTATACACGTTTAGTTTGGATGACAATGCACGATACGGCGTGTGACGTTATTCTAAATACAATATGGCGGACCATCCAAGATGGCGGAATAGTTATTTTTAATTCACTTCTACAATATAAACAAGTATCAAATTAAACGGCCCGTTGAGATTAAGTCGAAAAATAATGTAATGTCATATTCTAAGTCCAATATGCCGGACCATCCAAGATAGATAGAGCAACTCCGAAAATGCTGTGACATCACTCTAAATTCAATATGGCGCACTATTGAAATTTTTTGTGCTTTTCCTATGATGAAAGGGTTTGCTGAGAATAAAAATACAGGTATAAAAAATCAATTTTTGAGCCTGTGAGAAAGCTGAAAAAACTTTTTCGAAAAAAGCTTTTATTTGAACGCTCTAAAATGAAGGAAACAAAAATGTCCTCTTAAATTTCAACTATCAATTTATAACCTCATTATACACAATTTTTATGATCATAAAAGCTTGTCGCGCGATTTACTTGTGCATCAGTACTAATTCAATTATGTAAAATCTGCTCGCAATTTACTTGTATATTTGTACTAATTCGATTATGTGAAATCTGTTAAGTTAAAATTCAATTGAATATTGATCATCGCGTGAAGCTTTCATGATCATATATTGTGTATAATGATGTTATAAGTTGATATAGTAAAAATTCAAACGGAACATTTTACCTACTGCTTTTTAGAGCGTTCAAATATAGTTATGTTATCCAAGGGAAAAAAGTAGTAATTTTAGCTCCAGGTTGCGTTGCAGGCATCTTTATCATTCTTTTGAAGTAATCAAATATCTGTCTGTCTAATTCTGTGATTTGATCAAAAAATTGCGAATTTAGTGGTTGTTTAGTAATTTACGTAACTGTGTAGTCGAATGGAAGATAAAAGTACTAGCAGTTCTTTCTCGGAGACGATGTTATTGGCTTATTTTTCGGAACTATAGCACAACAAAAGCCATCAACAGTGAAAAAGTACCTACTCACTTTTTTCCCGTGGGAAGTGACATTTTATAACCTGTCAACAGAGATGAAATTTCGAACTTTTTTACCGTCACAGAAAAAATAACATACGTTCAGAAGACTATTCATATGCCCAATGATCGATATGACGCAGTGAAATTTCAGACTGAAAACACTGCAGACACCTATACTACAGTATTGGCAGAGAGTCTGGCCGATTTTCATACCTTGAAACCCCGGACGATTCTTCTTCCATTTTTTCAATTGTATGGAATACCCTCTTTCATATAATTTCTTTCGAAATCTTCGATTTCTGTGATATATAAACATTTGCCTGCCAAACTTTCAGAAAAAAAGTTGTAATCAACATGGTTCAACAAATGGTCCCTAAGGGTAGTCACTGTTCCACTCATTGAAATGCACAATCTAGTGATTCGTTCATGTATCCGGGAAGAAACGGTAATTATTAATCATCATTTTATGGATATGTTTTCATGACTAACACTGTAGAAAACATTTTAGGGGTTCAAGGTATGAAAATCGACCCGACTCTTGGAATAGTAGAAGTACAGAGATTCAATGACGTCAGTGCTGCTAACAAGGCAGTCTATATACTACTCACCAGTATCTCATGCTTCAGTTTCTCGGTCTCCGACCTTGCCCAATCACCATTTGCAGTTGGAAGAAGTTCATTTATTAAATTCATTATCGTAGAAAATGTATAATTATCTCTTGTGGTGAAATACTTCAAAGTTTCAATAACGGGGTTCACCTGAAAAGTTGATTAGCTATTTCAGTTAGGAAACGTGTAATTTCGCGTGACGTTGAAGTATCCTATCCATCCCTGTAACTTTTTATTGGTTAAAGATGAAATTTTGGAACTGTTGACAGATTTGAATAGACAGTAGGTAAAAATGTGTGAATTCAATTTTATTGTGCATTCAACTCAAATATCATAGAAATATAATATAATTGAATCCATTTTTTTGACAAGATACTTCAACCACGCCAATTGAATACCATACAATTTTATGGAACATTTAAACAAAGGGTTTGGCGACACACTCGTCTAACCAGTAGGTACTGACATCATAAGCCCTTTTTCAGTATTGCCAGCTGTTTTATTTCGAACAAATATCAACTTCATCAGTCGGTCATCAGTGATAGGCCAACAAGCCATCAAACAAAATTTACCTCGCCCTGTCTGTCTGTGACATCTTTACGGAAATTAAAACCATCTTCTTGAGTCATCCAATATTTCCATAACTGTCCAGTATATTTAGTACCTTCGAATTCAACACTTTCAGGACTCTCATCATGAATTTCTTTGAAATGGTCGATTGCACTGAAATATAAATGAAATAGCTACAGTCAGTCAATAGCTTTTAGAGGCTGCCTTCAGACTCAAAGTTATAATTTCATTATTTCTTGAATAAATAATTACTGCTTGGAAATTGTTAAAAATCTCGTGAAAAATATACAGGTATTCGGCTTCCTCTTATTGGTATTCAATAATATATGTTAGCATGAAAAAAATATTGATTATATATCAATAAAAATTTGTTTCACAAAAAATCAGTAGGTAGATGTTTTCCTATCTCTTGAGCTCCACAAAATGAAAAAATACCCTTTATCATAGGCTGCTTCATTGTTTCTTGGCAGGTACTTTTATTGTTTGACATGGCAACCTACATGTTTCAACAGTTTTACGGTGAGAAGTTCATGGATTTTGGTATGGGAGTTCAAGCAAAATATCTCGAAAATAATTATTATTATGATCTTGAATAAAAAATCCATTTAAAGAGACAAGGAACCAATTACAAATAGACAACTTTCTAAAACGGGCATTATATTTTTTTCGGAGACCGAAAATTCTTGAGATATAGGTACTGAATATACTGCTGTTGTCCCAAAGAAATGAGGTTTCTGTATACTCACCGTGAGAATATCTTCTTCATTTCTGGCCTGAAAGGACTCACAAACAGATCTCTTGGGTCTGAGACATAACAAATTTTGATTTTTTTGACGTCTACATGTTGATCTAATTTCAATTTCATAGAATTCTCTGGACCCACCAAAACTTTCAATACCGACATTAAATCTTCAGAGTACTTTGTCAAGGGACCAGCATTCACCATTGATTCTTCTTCATTGCCATTCTGGAATATTATTCCTGAAAATCGATGTGAATGAATAGGAGTCAGGTGAGTACCTACAGGTTAGAAAATGAAACAATAAACTTTGTTCCCTTTCATCTCCAATCCAGTTGGCAAATAGGTTAGACAAGTCATAACATAACTTTCAGAATATTAGGTGTGTCAAAATGAAATTTGGTGTAAGTGTATGTGAAGAGGATAGTTTCAGTATATTTTCGGTCACTTCCGGGTTCACCTATTCCATTTACCTATACCGATACAGGGGCGAACCTAATGATGTAAAAATCTGTGTATGTCCCGAGTCCCGAGGTATGTCCTTATAGCCAGCCACCCGCATTAGATATAGAATAACATAAATTTTGAGCGAACTTTCTATTTTTTCAACTTTTTTAATCCAATATCAGGTATATCGAGGAGACGCTATGCACTCTCCGCACCTCACCGATATCAATTCGATTCACCTAATTAGCAGTTTTGACTTGTCTAATAGATTCGTTGATACCGGTGTTTTGAACCACCCCTCAACTTTTTTTTATAGTTCAATTTTTTTTCAGATTTCCATAATATATGTTTCACAGAAAAACAGTTGAACATCTAAAAAAAGAAGTTATGGGTAATTTTTATGTAAATTTTTAAATGGAACACCCTATACTAGTAAGTATTCGCAGAAATATTTTAAATATATGGTATGTTTAGCTAACAGATTTTCAGTTATTTAACGTTGAACTTGGAATTTTCACCAGATTTCCTTAAATGATCACGGCATAGAATGTAGAGTTAGTCAAGGACTTGATTGAATTATCTGTTATAAAATTGTAAAATAATAATAGTCATTATTGCGAGAAGAATTCTCTACTTTTTTACAACTAATATTACTCAAGTATTATACTTGTAGTTTTTGCAGTATAATGCCACATATTATTCCCTTAGGGAATAAATGGAATGCAGAGGGAATTAGGACTAGAAATTCCACAGCAATCTACACGTTACCTTTGGTTGATATCAGTCCAGATGTAGGTTTATGCCCAAAAACTCCACACATAAAGGCAGGTATTCTGGTAGAGCCGCCTACATCAGTTCCTGAAATGAAATGGTTTCGTATTTGCCAAGCCTAGCAGAATAATATCATGTGACAAGATCAATGAACACATGGTGTTATTCTTTACTCCACAGAAATCTCACATTAGTTGATGCCTACGACGAAAAAGTTCATACATTTTCACAACCTTGTATTTTCGTAATAGAATACTTTTCGATCATAGTTTATGGAGTATACTATTAATTATTTATGTAGAATCACACCCTCAAATCATTCTCATATCATAAAGTAACACCCTGTATACTAATACACAGTTACCAGTGTTATTATCGATTTAAAAGTATGGTGCTTTTTCGACATTAAGTCAAAATAAGGTGAAAAAAGAATATATCAAATCAAAAAAAATTGTGTATTTGGGACATAAAGAGGAAAGTTTTCACCAAATCTCGTGAAAAAAATTGTTTTTGTAAAAGATACATCAACTCCTCCACAGAAAACGCTATTTGAAGATGACGTGAGTCACTTTGACATCTATAAAAAAGATGCACCTTTTTATCAACAGTAAAAACACAAGAGCTTTTTTTATTAGTATATTATGTAACAAGTGTTATAAACGTCCTTTTAGTAACGAGTGTTTAATAAACGAGTGTCTAGAAGAGTTTATAAACGCGTTACATACTATAATTTTTCTACGAACTCCGAAAATTACATTAACATACCAGCAATTCCTGCTAACCTATAAAATAATTCGAAAGGAATGGGAATTGAGAACAGAATACATGCAACTGCATGCAACCAGCCAGACACGTATAAGTGATATTGGTTGTAGATGTGTCCAGTCCATTGCATTGTGGCCTACTTTTTTATATTGATTGATATAAACCAAAACTGTATAAAAATATAAGACACATGTGCGAACGGCAGCTCTTCGCCAGAGAACAGATAAGTGGATTCGTTGTGATTGCAGATAGTTAAATTTCAAGTTTAGAGGGCGCCACTCAATTTACAAAACAATTACTGATACTTGGATAATTGAGAAAACCAATTAGTTGGATACTTACAGTATTTTCCAAAACTTAATCCTGAAATAGAAATGTGAAAAAATCTTCTTAAATGGCAGTGTCAACACAAATAGATGAATAAAACCATATCAAATTTCAGACCTATTTATTATCACCATAACAGACAGGGTTTGTGCAGACCAATGTAGAGACCAAATGAGTGTCAGAATATGTAGCATATGTTATCATGAAATATCTTAAATATGACCGTAAAATATCATAACCATAAATTGTCATAACCATGAAATGATTGTTTCTAGGGGAATTCAAAATTATTGTACAAAATCAAAACTTATCAACCTACACCATGACAATTACCACCTCTTTATATGACTAGCGTTTTGGTATAGCAATCATCATATTCCAACTATAAAATGGGATGTATAAATCTCAAAAAAATTGATTAAACAATAATCTGTAAAAAACCTGAAACCGCTGTCACATAGTACTATGGGAGAGCTTCACAAGAGCTTCATACATGTTAAATATGGTTATGATCAAAATGTTGAAATATTAAATTCAGATTCAAAAAAATGATGGAATAAAAAAACCTGGTCTATTGGAGGGTCCTCTCCAATGGTCTAATCACCCCTATCCAAGGTCCACTATGGTGAGTAGGCATGCTCAGGAAGATGAAGACAGGAACGAAGACAGGAACAAAGAAGTTGATGGACCTCCACAGTCCACAGTAGGGCTCAGTGGTGTGGCTCAGCCGGTCAGCTTGACCGGTTACTACTGGGCTTGATCTGGGCCACCTGTCGACTCTGGTCAGGATAAAATGAGCGACCTGGTCCTCTTGGGAATCATGACCAAGGTCGAGAGATTATCCCTTCAGCTGTTCGCACTAGAAGCCGAAGGCAGCTAAGCCATACCCTAACACCCTGTTAAAAAATTAACAGGTTGATATAACCTCTTGACAGACACGTGGAGAACAGAAAAAAACTGATATTGAAAGGAAATATTGCTCACCAAGTTGATAGTCATTGCTCTGCATATGACTTACCTTCTGAGAAGGGAGGAAGGACTTGAAGAACAATTAGTTTGGAGTCTTCATACGCTGAAAAAAGCCGGCTGCAGGGCTTCCTGGGGACATCAGGCAGTCTCCGAAAAGTGGGAACAAATCCTACACAGGTCCATGGCCAGAATCACTGATGTTTTTGAACAATTTCAAAAAAATTTCAAATCCCCCGAAGGGTTTCTACGGATTATACCGAGAAAAGAAAAAATGCTCAAACTGGCTCAAGTGCACACCATGACGGTCGCCGAGAAAAAGCCTCGAGATAGCTACCGGAAATCTCCTCCTAAAATTCCCTATCTAAACTTATCTTATCTAAAGAAGTGCTTCCTGCCAAAATTCAGCGCCAAATATGAAATCCTATTATTTCATTGGTCAGAAGAAAAACACAAGAATTACTAGGTCCAAACTAACAGAAGAAGTACCGAAGAAAGAAAAGAAAAAGAAGAGTCTTCTTTTTCTTCGGTAGTACTATGTCACAACATTGTAAGATTGTGCTTAAGTCCTACTCACAGAAGATGAGTGACATACTGGACAATGACGTTTGGATGACAATATTATAACCCTAAAATAAATTCCAGAAAATAAAGAAAATAATTCTTCCAACACCGAAAATACCATTTCAGATCGAAAAATCACCTTGAATAATCCCTGAAATAAACCAGCGACATGGGCTCTACCACACTTGCAACACAATGGTAAGTCGTTTGTTTACTCTCGGAAGGGACAACAACATTGAACTATTTCTTCGAATTCTAGGCCTCTAGGATCAGAACGCCAGAAATCAAAGACTCCTGCAGCTTATATCATCACCTCCCATCGGCACATAGAAATTCAGAAGACATTACTAATCATGACTGTTATTATTTCTATGCTGTTATTCAAAACTGTGTGATAAAGTGGTTCATTAAAAGTTACATTCAAGTACTTCAGGATTATTTACCAAGTATCAGACTGAATGTTCTCTGTAAGTATGACTTCTTGTCTAGATCTGAAAGGTTAATATTTACAAAATGGTAATGTATGAAACAAAAAAATGAAAATGATTCTTTGCAACTTCAAATGTTGCACTAAAGCAAATTCGCTTGAATTTTCATGCAAACGATACTAAAAATTATTTTGTAGCAATTTCAAATGCTACATATACCCCTCTCCTAAGAGAAAAAATTGGTCAATTTATGGAACAATTTTTGATAGAGGTTAGGCATTCATGCAAATTTTTGGACAATAGTAACTGCGCGTACCAAACGTTCCTCAAATGGAAGTAAAAACATAGTTCACTACCAGGTAAGAATCTAATCTTGAAAAGATCTAAATCTGGATAAAAGTCAAAATCGGGGTAATTAGTCTAAATCTGGATAATAAGTCTAAATCTGGACAATAAGTCCAAATCTGGTTATATTCTGAATCGGTAAGTCTAGTCCAATTACATGAATCTATCTCTAATGAGAAAAGTATTTACAAAATTTTCAAAATGACAAAAAAATTATTTACATCAAGGAAACTATGAAGTTCAGGTTGATCAGACCTTTCAGGAATCTTCATAGGGGAACAAAATCACTAAATAACTTGTAAGTGTCAAGTGACAAGTATGAAGTATCTATTGTCAAGTAATATTCCATATTTAATCTCAAATATGAAATAACAAGGGTCAAGGTCAAGTAAGCTTACTTTATAAGGAGAACATTGAATCTCAAACTAGGTTCTGCATGAACCATAAAAATTGTTTGTGCACCAACGCACCAAAAAATTTGTCTGTGCACCAACGCACCAAAAAAACTATCTGTGCACCAACGCACCAAAAAATTTACAAAAAAAAAATTTTACTCAAAACCAACTAACAGAAGTACTCTGTAGACAAATCTAAGATAATAATTATGGTCTGAATAAACATTACTATCCAACAGAAACATCTGATTTGGATCCAAAATATTGTTTTAAATCTTTTATATGCCATTCCCCAGCGGGAGAACCATCGATATGATCTAAAGCATATACTAAACGAGATATTCTTTTCCTAACAATATTCAAAACATATTTGGGGGCTAATTTTGCACTAAACTTGCTCGAAGCATCTGAAAGTATCTTATTTCTCCGCCACACCTTTTCTCCTTCTTCAAATATATGGTCTCTCTTTCTGAGGTTGTATGATGTCGCATTTCTCTGATAAGCCTTATGTAATCTTTCCTGTACTGTCTTAAAGACATCACCAAGCCCCTTGATATCCTGAACAAAACTATCCCTGTCATCAGGTAAAAGTTCGATATCTTGGGTTTTAGGAAGATTTCCATAATACTTGCCAGAGATAGGGACATTTCGACCGAAAGTCAAAAATGCTGGAGTATACTGGGTGACCTCATGTGTGGCTGTATTTATTGCCTGTTGAATTTTATAAATTTCCTTATCCCAATCCTTATGTTCATCTACATAACTTCTAATGGCTTGACCTATGGTCTTGTTAGTTCTCTCTACAAAATTGCACTGAGCTGAATAACGAGGGGTGTACCATATCTTTTGAACATTATAAGTGTCAGCTAGTTTTTTAAATAGTTTTCCAGCAAATTGCTGTCCATTATCGCAAACTATGAACTGTGGTACCCCAAATACCAAAAATACTTGATTTTCCATAAACTTTATAACGCTAGGTGCTTTAGCATCACGCATAGGACATAATAGTGTGTATTTTGTGAAAAAATCAGAAACTACTAACAAGTAGGTGAAACCTCTAGAAGATCTAGGAAATGGTCCCATGATATCAACAGCAATAGTTTGAAAAGGAAATTTCACTGTACGTTCAGCTCCCATGAGTCCCATACGAGGAGTATTTGATAATTTTTGTGACTGACACACCCTGCATGTTTTGACATACCTTAAAATGTCACTTCTCATCTTAGGCCAATAGTAGTGTTCTTGTATTCTCGCAAGGGTTTTAAAAAAACCGAAATGACTACAGGTAGACGGATCA